CTCAAACCAAAAGAAACGTACTAGCAGTTGCAGTCTTAAGTGATTTAAGGAATTGATAGATGTTTGCTTTGTTTGCAATCGGCACGCGTCGCTATGTACATCGCCAAGTATCAATCTTCCTCGACGACGAGATGCTTCAATTGTAACATAAGAATTAGCCGGGTTTATTTTAAACTCACAAATTGGCTGCCATGGAACAAGCAGACCAACAACAGTTGTTCAACACTTCTTGGACCATCCACCGTCTCTCCCCTCTCCATCATGGAAAGGAGTGTGAAACACTCCTAGATAACCAGGTCGCCTTGAAAACATACGCAACGCGTTTACGCGACCATCTCACAGGAGATGTCCTCGCTGGTATTCAGACAAGTACTGGTGCAGCAGACGACGACGCGCTCTCCAAAACAGGCGCCCTAAAAGATTGTCTATGGCGGCCAATCTCTCCTCAATCATTGCGCGACGAAGCGCCAAGCAGATCCCAGAATACCATGTTTCCTGGAGTTCTAGTAACACTAGAATATGAAAATATCGTCTACAAAGCAGCTTTGCTTGCAGACACAAAATCATCCACAAACCAGCGCACGGGATCCACATCTCTTCCTCTCCTCCTAACTCGATTCCCAACTGCGCTCCGACAAACATTCATCACTTTCTTATCTACCAATTTCGACACTTACTGCTCGCCCTTACGACTGCCGTCGAACTTTCTCTGTGCGGGTCTAGAGACGTACATCGATACACTGCGCACTAAACGGCCAAGTACCAGCGACATGGTTGAAGACGTTATCAAAGAGTTACAACTCACGCTCTCCTTCTCATCATCGGTTGCACCAGTGCTGAGATCCCTGAATGTCAGCGTCGCGCGTGCTTCACTAGAGGGCTTCCTCCACGATCAGCCTGGACAGTCGGCGCCGAAGTCACGCAGTCTTCAGCATAAACTACGCAGCCCTTTCATTGCCAATCTTACTTCGTACCTGGAGACGCACCTTGCCATGAAGCTAGATCTGGATGGGTCGTCTTCAACCCAGGCTGCTAAACAGCATGTGCGACTGTCGAAGGTTGCATGTGCTGCTTTCGTTTTGGGTGGTGAAGGACGTGTGAAGCTGGTTGTGGCTGCTGATGGGGATTCCGGGGATGGGGATGAGAGCTCCCGAGCTCGAGGCAATAAGAATAATCTTGCTTTGGAGGCAGGGGAATCGCTTCTGCGGTCGGTGATCCAGAAGGCTGTTGTGGAGGATCATTCGGCTACCTGAACATATTGGTGTTTTTTTGTGTCAGTGTGAAACTGGAACACGTTGAAATATCTTCGGGGCTCGGACCGAGCAAGTGCAACCCCATTAGCATGACCTGCCTCGATTCACGGAGCTCATAGCTTTGCTCTTGAGTCTATCCAATCCACTGGACTTGTGGCCAATACAAGACTGCGTAACCAAGTGCAAACCGGGGCAGCTAAATTGCATGCTAGGGCCATGCTTTGACCTAGGGTTTTATCACTGTGGTACTCTAGATGCTGCAACGCTGGCTTTCATTTCCAAGATGGCACGCTCGGGAGACCTGATCGTGGTGCATAGCAAAGCATAAGGGTTTACTTCGGTCCCCATTGAACCCAAGAAAACCAAAGCTTGTTACTGGAAGGAATAATTGACCATGTTCTCTGTCTGTTCGCAAAATGTTGCTCTATGACAATAAGTCAAGTAGCACCATATATTTTGATTATCTTTAGATGGCAAAAATGCAATATGCCTATACAAGATATCTACACCATATCCAAACACGTATCACCAATTTTAACAAGATAGACACTATATCTCCTGTGTCTGGTTCTCAGATTCCGCCAACCGCAGCGCCTCATCAACACTGGGCACGAAATGAGTCAACCCACCACAGGTCTCAACAATACCACTCCGCTCAAACATGCGGAACACGCTCCTATTCGGCAAGCGGCAAAAGAACACTCTGACGCGTTGCTCCGCGTACGCGTGCACAATCTCAGAGAGAACCTGGGTACCAGACCCATCGATACTCGTAACGCCATGAACATCGAAAATGATATTCTTATTATGCTCCGGCGCGCGCATGCGCGGCAAAGAAGGATGAGCATGAGTGGATCCGTAGAGCTCCAGACGTCGCAAACGGTTCTTGAGATCGCCTGTGTTGGCAAAGGTGAGCGGCTCGGGGATCTTGACGATCAGGGCGCCCTCGATTAGCTCCACGTTTTCTGGGTGGAGTTCGGCATTATCAAAACGTGCGTCTGTGCCGAGGACCTTGCCCATGATCTGGATTCGGGGGGCCGTTGCGTGTCGGATAAGGATTATCACTGATAAGCCTATTCCCAACGCCATGCCTAGTTCTAGGGAGTAGAAGATTGTTGTTGTGAAGATGAGGAACATTAGGACGAGCTCTGACCAGCCTCGCAGGCGGAAGAAGAAGATTAGATCATGTGGGCATTCTTCAACTAGAGTGAAGGCTACCACGGAGATCATGGAGCACAGAACTGCTTTCTATTTGGGAATTGGCATGGTCAGCACATGGGAAAAGCCATGTCGGTCTAGTGTAGGTTTGGGAGGAACGAACCGGGAGATAGTAGAGATAAGGCAAAAGGACCAAGACGCATGTGAATGTGATAATGCTCACAAAAACACTAGTCATGGGTGATCTTGCTCCTGTTTGTGTGCTAAGCTTGCTTCGCCCGTATCCGCCAAATGCAGGCAGAGCCGAGAAGCAACCTCCGATGACATTTGCAACGCCTAGTGCAACCATCTCGCGATTGGCACTCATATGCATTCCCTTGATTCCAGCGGAACTGCCTTCGCCCAGCCCCTTGGCCGCAACAGATGACTCAAAGAAACCAAGTAGCGCGATAATAAAGGCTTTGCTCAATGCTGTGCGTATATGTTTCATATTTACAAGCTGGAAAGGCCAGTTGAAAGCGAATAGTCCTCCAGAGGAAACCTCTGTAGGTCCAAGAATTTCGAGCCCTTTAGCTTCCCAGTCGAGGTGCCAAGCCAAAACCGCGGACAGGGCAACAACCAGGAAGCGGTCTGGGAAATAAATCACTTGTGGGATACGAGGCACAAGCATCTTTTTCAAAGTTCTGTGGATGATCAGTATGATGAATGTAAACCCGGGGGCGCGGTACGAACCTGAACACCATGATGACAGAAAAGCTAACGATCGAAACGATAGCAGTTAGTCCATGGCACTCTCGAGCGTATCGAAAGATGAAAATAAGTTTTTCAAAACTAGTGCCATGACTGACACCGGTTTCTTTGGCATACTCGGCCAGACCCAATTCCGGAATAAGCTGGTCTACAAAAATCACAAAGCCAATGGCAGTGATGAATCCTCTCAAAAATGGTCGACTGAGCACGTTGTCCAAAAACCCTAGGCGGGTTATTCCGGCAACCAAAATCATGCCACCGGACAGGGCAGTAGCCACTCCTACAATAAGAGCGGTTTCTGTAGTGTCGTCTTCGCCTGAGTTCCCTTGCATAACACTTGCTTTGACAATAGCACCTGTCAGTAGGGAACCCGCAGCCTCTGGTCCCACGACCAGGAGAGGACAGCTTCCTAGGATGGCATAGACCAAGGGATGGATGACAAAAGAGTAGAGGCCGCTGATGGGCGGTGCATGAGCAAGATTGGAGGCCAAAGAGAGAGCCATCGGGATGTAGATGGATGCCACGGTCAACGCAGCCATGAGATCACCGCGCAGGAGCGACCAATGGTATTGTCCAATCCAATTGAAAAAAGGAATATAGTAGGATATGTATCTGCCATTGATTCGTCAGTTACCAACCTTGAGGCGGGCTACGAAAGTGCTCGCAATACATGAATAAGATACGACCTACTGTTTATTCGTATCGGTTATTGGAAGAGTGAAAGATGATTTCATCTGTGACGGAGTCTCTGAACCTGGGACTGACTCCGGGTGGTCTAGCACACCTCTAGGGGGACCGACCGCCCCGTCTGTCACCTCATGTCCGCTATATCCAAACGCATCGCCTGCCCCTCCCACGTATGACTGTCTTCCCGTGTCTTCTACCTGGGGTGAAAATGTGCCATGGCTACAGCGTCTTTCACCGCACGCAGGGTCCGCTTGAAGGTATGACTCCAGAAGTCGGGTTCTCACGTCTGGTTCACTCGTAACCCCGGTGCTAGTTTGGTTGTCCTGTGCCGTGTGAATGCCATGGCTTGAACTTGTCGAAATCCCAAGACCGGTTTGAGGCGACGAACGGAAAGCGTCGACAATGCGGTCTCGTAGAGTCCGACGTCCAAGTCCGTCGGACTCCCCGGGGAGCAATGAACTTGTCTCAGACATGATCGTTTGGAAAGAGACGCCTGAAGAATGTTAGGTTAGAAGATAAGATACGAAATAGCCCGCCATAAATGCTGGTTATAATAAGGGATTAAAAGCAATTCAGAATTGGGACAAGAAGCCCAGGCCAAATTGTTTTTTGTCGGTCAGGCAAGGGCCAAGGGCCAAGGGCCTGGCGCGCTAAGGCGCTGATAAGCGGGGAAAGTAGGCGTTATCGCTAATTCAACGGTGATCCTCGGAGAATGACTGTGCAATGAAGATAAAGAGCATGGTAAGCATGATCTCAGGGGATTCTCTGATTCGTAGATACCATAAACGCCATCGAGTACACAAGTGTATATAAAGAACTGCCCGTCTTGCCGGTCAATTTCCGTTGACGTAATAAATTGTTGATGTGTCAGCCAAGACCAAGTAGGATTTCCAATTGGAAGGCGGTGTAAATTACAATCACGTGCCTTTCAGTCCCGTGACTGATCAGGTCAATGTGGGTTTTGGAAGTCCGCCACAAAGAGATAGATTGTGCCTCATTCGCGTCGCCTCTCCCCTCTGCGCTCCTGTATTTCTGACTTTACGATCACTCATATCCCGTTGGCCAGCATATCGACCGTCTCGATTGTGCCATCAAATCCGTCTCTTTCGCACCTAAGATTTCCCCGAGAAAAAAAAACAGAACCCCACCAAGATGTCTTTAACAAACTGTCGGTTCTATGAGGACAAGTATCCGGAGGTGGATAGCTTCGTCATGGTGAATGTCAAGCAGGTACGGATCAACTGAGCCATTAAATGGGAGACCAAAGTGACGGGGACTAATTTTTGTGTGCACGAGCTAGATCGCCGAGATGGGCGCATACGTGAAGCTGCTTGAATATGACAACATCGACGGCATGATTCTCCTCTCAGAACTCTCTCGCAGACGTATTCGCAGTATCCAAAAGCTCATCCGTATTGGGCGCAACGAGGTCGTCATCGTGCTTCGTGTCGACAAGGAGAAAGGCAAGGATACACTATTCGTCTGGAAGAACGCGAGAACTAACTTGTGAAATTAAAGGTTACATTGATCTGTCGAAGCGACGTGTCTCCCCCGAGGATGTCATCAAGTGTGAGGAACGTTACAACAAGAGCAAGGCAGTGCACTCCATCATGCGCCACGTCGCAGAGGCGACTCAGACCCCCTCGAGTCCCTATACGAGAACATTGGGTGGCCTTTGAACCAGAAATACGGCCACGCGCACGACGCCTTCAAGATCTCGATTACGTAGGTTCTTGTGCTTTTTCTCTCATGGTATCATCGAATTTCTCTGACAGTTGTCTCCAGGAACCCCAACGTCTGGGATGAGATCACCTTCCCCAGCGATGCCGTCAAGAGTGAGCTGCAGCAATACATCAACAGCAAGCTGACCCCCCACCCTACCAAGGTCCGTGCCGATATCGAGGTTACCTGCTTCGGTTACGATGGAATCGATGCCGTCAAGGATGCCCTCCGTACCGCCGAGGCCGACAACACCCCTGAGAACCAGATCAAGGTCAGACTGGTGGCTCCTCCTCTCTACGTCCTGGCCAGCCAATGTCTCGACAAGACCCTCGGTGTCAAGTTGCTTGAGGAGGCCATTGTGAAAATCGAAGAGCGTATCAAGGCGCACGGCGGTAGCTGCACTGTGAAGATGGCACCCAAGGCCGTCACTGAGCACGATGATGCGATCCTCCAGGAGCTTATGGAGAAGCGCGAGCGTGAGAACACCCAGGTCAGCGGAGATGAAGACTCCGAAAGTGATGAGGGTGTTCCCGAGTAAGTTTCGGGTTATAACTCCGAGTCGAGGGGCATACAGCGGTCATCAGCGCTGGAATCCAAAGCTGGAATCACCGCTAGAGGAGGGTTGGGCAAAAATGGATAGAAAAAAGCTTGCACATATCGGAGAAAGGCTCAATGGCTCAGTGTGCTTATGGGCAGGATTGCAGTCAGAACTCGCCCTTTAGCCAGGGCAGTCGCCTGAAATTCGGGTCTGGGGATGATTTATCCACGCCTGTGTATTCGCTGCATGCCAATGGCGGTCGAAATCCTCGTGCCCACCGTCTGTCAAAGACGCTGGGTCCGCACGGGGTGCAAGTTCTAATGCACATAATGTTTGCGATGCAACCGAGACGTTCAATGCCAGTCATGCTTTTAAATGCAAATCGTATCCCTGTAGAGACTACTATATGTACTTATTTACATATCGATATATATAAATCCATTTCCCCTTTGAATTCAAGATCAGATTCCATAAAATGGAGGTGAGCTAAAGCTTATCTACCGCCGATCATCATTGGTGCCCTCCCTCAAGCCGAAAACTCTCGAGCCGAACTCTCCCTTTTCTTGTTCTCTTCACCCTTTTGTTTCCCTCTATTTTTCGATATTCTACGCGATATGGGACATTGGAAAAATATTTTTACGGTCGATCCTGGCAGGACCCGGCACCGTGTTGAGGTGGAACGTCGTCGACGTACGTCATTTCCAAACACCGCGATGTGGAACACTACTAACAAGTGGCAGTGCTACCGGCCTATGCTGCCGATGAGTCTGAGGCCTCTCACTCTTCAAAGGAAATTGCCAAAGTTGCTCTTCGGCTGAAATATCAAATTGAGCAGGTTGTCTCCTGTGAAGTGCAGGAGAATGTCTTGACCGACCCAAACAGCCGCATCATCACGGACGATGTGGTTGAGACTGCCAAGCAGGCCGGGGGAGACGAATACAAAGCATGCGTTGTTTATTGTCTTCTGGTTTGTCTGCGATGGTTCAAGATTCAATCCTCCGTCGAGCTTTGGGATTCGGACCTTCACGACGTTCGGGCTGTGGCTTGCGAGGTCATCGCCAAGCGCATGTAATGCTCCCGTAACATTTCGCGCTTTCTGCTCTATTTACTGACTAGGTTCAACAGTATCGAATCCGAGCAGAACCAGGATTACGTGTTGAAGCACATTTTACTCAAGCGATACTCTATCTTCAGTGAGGGAATAGAGACCGATCCTGCCAATGTGATTGAGCGAGCAGTGGATCTCCATGCATTGAGAGTCATCGGCTCTGCCCCGTACCAGCGATGCATCCAGTACCTTTGGAGGGGTTGGATCTGCCAGGAAGAGGGCAACCCAACTAACTTTGTCGAATACAGCGAGAAGTCTAACACCGGATATTGGGTTCATTTCCACCCTGATCGGATGCGAACTCCTTTGTATCAGAATGTTTGTCAGATTCTGTTCTCTTTGATTTACCTCGCAGTTTATACGGCGGTCATCAATACCGTGAACCCAAGCGGTGATGTGGATGTGGCCGAAGCCATTCTTTACGGTATGACTCTTGCGTTCATCTGCGACGAGGCGATCAAGTTTTGGAAGGTTGGATGGAATTACCTCGAATTCTGGAATGCCTTCAACTCGACCCTTTACGCCATCCTAGCGGTGTCACTTATCATGCGTTTCATTGCCTTGGCACATTCATCATCTACTCACGATGAACAAAGGCAGCTGTACAACGAGCTCAGCTACAACTTCCTAGCTTTTGCGGGTCCTATGTTCTGGATGCGCATGATGCTCTATCTCGACTCGTTCCGCTTCTTCGGTGCTATGTTTGTGGTTCTTCGAGTTATGATGAAGGAGAGCTTGATATTCTTTGCTCTTCTATTTGTGGTTCTGGCTGGTTTCTTCCAGGCCTTTGTCGGCATGGCCCAAGTGGATGCCGATGTCCCCATCCACCGAAACATTCTCCAGGGAATGGTAAACAGTGTCATGCAGAGTCCTGAGTTCGACACTTTCCAGGACTTTGCATTTCCCTTTGGCATCATCCTTTACTACGTTTTCAACTTCATTGTTATGACTGGTCAGTTTGCGTTCAACTTTTTAGGGATAATGTTAACAGTTGTCAGTTTTGTTGAATATTCTCATCGCCTTGTACAACAGCGCATATGAAGATATCTCTGGCAACGCGACGGACGAGTACATGGCTATCTTCGCGCAGAAAACCATGCAGTTCGTCCGTGCCCCAGATGAGAACGTCTTCATCCCGCGTACGTATTTTTCTCGGTTCCGATAACACATGTGTGGCTAACTTACTCTGGGTACTAGCATTCAATCTCGTCGAAATTCTTTTCCTGATAGCACCATTCGAATGGTGGCTTTCGCGGGAGGCCTACGCCAAGTTGAATGACTTGGTGATGGGTGTGATCTATTCCCCTCTGCTTGTTATCGCAGCCTGGGTTGAGACCCGTCAGGCGCACAAGATTCGATGGAATCGCCGCCATGGTGAAGAAGACGATGACTGTGCTCAGGAATGGGAGCATGTAGCTAAGGAGGTCAATTTTGATCTTGATGATACTTGGAAGCAGCAAGTGGTAGAGACTACGGCGGATATCAAGGTTGATAGCTGTACATATGAACTCAGAGAGCTGCGGGAGCAGGTTAAGATGTTGACAGAGATGGTGAAAGGACTGACTCAGGAGATAGCGGACAAGAAGGTGGATGAAGCAAGCTAGGTGGGAAAGTTCAAGGTGTCCGTGTGATATATATACCGGCACGTTACAAATGAACCCAAGCAGACAACAACAGCATGTCGCCCTGACATTGAAAACGTACCATACGCTATACTAGTTATTATTGTTATATCTTTGGCATAAGTGCATATAGCGTTTGTCCAAACTCCATATCCAAACATTATTTTCTATATCTAAAAAATCTCCCATCACCTCAGCACTATAATAACCAAAAAAGAAAAGAGCAAAAAAAGAAATCTCAGGTTTGGTTTTTAGGAATAGCCGAACGCGGGGGTCGAACCCGCAGCCTTAAGATTAAGAGTCTTACGCTCTACCGATTGAGCTAGCCCGGCCGGGCTGTTGAAAGAGGCTGCAATATAGTGCTACATAAGCCTGAGGTGGCCAGGGCTGGCTGACATAATGCTAGCGCGTCGAGCGGCGAATCCTCTGGAACCAAAATTATAAGGTGGAAGGTGGCTTCATCTACGAATCTGGGCATTTCCTCGATTGGATCTTATCATTGCTTTCCGGCTTCGTATGAGTCATTAATTTTCCTGGTTGTTTGACTCTGACCGCGGTCACTAGATTGCCACCATGTGCGTTACCAGAACAGCCCCCGATCCTTTGGCTGCAGCTAATAGTATACAGGGCAAAGCTCGTAGACGACCCTCAGATCCATACTGCCTCGTTGCATAATCCGATCCCCTGGCAATTGCATACATACGTCTGGCCTTTCTTGATTATCTGGCCTGTGTTTTTCGCCTTCTACCTCTCCCCCGAGCGTTATGATACCTACATTCAGGGACAGGAATGGACCTTCGTGTTCGCGGGGTCTATCATCACCATTCAGTCGCTCTTCTGGCTAATGACGAAGTGGAACATTGATATCAACACCCTATTCACCACTACTCGAGCCAAGTCCATCGACACTGCCCGCCTTATTAAAGTGGTTCCCATCACTAATGCTGGCTCTGCTGAGATCTGCAAATTGATTTATGAGACTACCGGCCCCAAGAAGACTCTTTCGTTCCGCTTCCAGAAGCGCCGCTTCCTCTTCTACCCTGAGACTCGCACCTTCGCACCCTTGTCTTACGTCCTTGACGCCGAACCAAAGCCAGCCCTTGAGACTTTCCAGTTGAGCGAGGGCTTCACGTCGAAGGCCGAGATTGACCGCGTCTACCACCACTATGGCGATAACACCTTCGATATTCCCGTTCCCGGTTTCCTTGAGCTTTTCCAGGAGCACGCTGTCGCGCCGTTCTTCGTCTTCCAGATTTTCTGTGTTGGATTGTGGATGTTGGATGAATACTGGTACTACTCACTCTTCACGCTCTTCATGCTCGTTATGTTCGAGAGCACCGTTGTGTGGCAGCGCCAGAGGACCTTGAGCGAGTTCCGCGGAATGAGCATCAAGCCTTATGATGTCTGGGTATACCGTGAACGGAAATGGCAGGAGATCACCAGTGATAAGCTTCTTCCCGGTGATCTCATGTCGGTGAACCGTACTAAGGAGGACAGCGGCGTTGCCTGCGATATCCTTCTGGTTGAAGGCAGCGTCATTGTAAACGAGGCTATGCTTTCTGGCGAGAGCACACCTCTTCTGAAAGACTCCGTCCAGCTTCGTCCCGGTGCTGACCTGATTGAACCGGATGGGTTGGATAAGCTCTCGTTTGTGCATGGTGGTACCAAGGTCCTCCAAGTTACTCACCCTAATCTTACTGCCGACTCGAGTTTGAAGAATTTGTCCAGCAATGTTACCATGCCCCCAGACAATGGTGCTTTGGGTGTGGTTGTTAAGACCGGTTTCGAAACCAGCCAGGGTAGCCTCGTCCGGACCATGATCTATTCGACTGAACGTGTCTCTGCCAACAATGTTGAAGCTCTGTTGTTCATCCTCTTCCTCCTGATTTTCGCAATTGCCGCTTCGTGGTACGTGTGGCAAGAGGGTGTGATCCGGGACCGTAAACGCTCCAAGCTTCTACTCGACTGTGTCCTCATCATCACTAGTGTTGTTCCTCCCGAGTTGCCTATGGAACTGAGCTTGGCCGTTAATACTAGTCTTGCTGCTTTGAGCAAGTATGCCATTTTCTGCACCGAGCCTTTCCGTATCCCCTTCGCTGGTCGTGTTGATATCGCTTGCTTCGACAAGACCGGTACCTTGACTGGAGAGGACCTTGTCGTTGATGGTATTGCTGGACTCACTTTAGGCGAGGCTGGTTCGAAGGTGGAGGCAGATGGTGCTCACACTGAATTGGCCACCTCCGCTGCTGTTGGACCCGACACCACTCTCGTTCTCGCCAGTGCTCACGCCTTGGTGAAGCTGGATGAGGGCGAGGTCGTCGGTGACCCCATGGAAAAGGCTACCTTGGAATGGCTTGGCTGGACTCTGGGCAAGAATGATACTCTGTCTTCTAAGAGCAGCGCCCCCGTTATCTCCGGTCGCAATGTCGAGTCTGTTCAAATCAAGAGAAGATTCCAGTTCTCCTCGGCGCTGAAACGCCAGAGTACTATCGCAACCATTACGACCAATGACCGCAAGACTTCCAAGAAGGTCAAGTCCACTTTCGTGGGTGTCAAGGGTGCCCCCGAGACCATCAACTCTATGCTAGTCAACACACCGCCCAACTACGAAGAAACCTACAAGCACTTCACCCGCAATGGCGCTCGTGTGCTTGCTCTTGCATACAAGTACCTTTCATCTGAATCCGAGCTTTCCCAGGGCCGCGTGAACAACTACGTCCGTGAAGAGGTTGAATCCGAGCTGATTTTTGCCGGTTTCCTTGTCCTGCAGTGCCCCCTGAAGGATGATGCCATCAAGTCTGTTCGTATGCTGAATGAGAGCAGCCACCGTGTTGTCATGATCACTGGTGATAACCCGTTGACCGCTGTCCACGTCGCACGCAAGGTTGAGATTGTTGATCGTGAGGTTCTCATCCTCGATGCCCCCGAACATGATAACTCTGGAACCAGGATTGTCTGGCGTACCGTCGATGACAAGCTCAATATCGACGTCGACCCCACTAAGCCCCTCGACCCGGAGATCCTGAAGACTAAGGACATCTGTATCACCGGATATGCTCTCGCCAAGTTCAAGGACCAGAAGGCTCTCCCTGATCTGCTCCGTCACACCTGGGTTTATGCTCGTGTGTCTCCCAAGCAAAAGGAAGACATTCTTCTTGGTCTCAAGGACGCTGGATACACTACCCTGATGTGCGGTGATGGTACCAACGATGTTGGCGCTCTAAAGCAGGCTCACGTCGGTGTTGCGCTTCTGAACGGCTCGCAAGATGATCTCACCAGGATCGCTGAACACTACCGGACAACCAAGATGAAGGAGCTGTACGAAAAGCAGGTCGGCATGATGCAACGATTCAACCAGCCCGCTCCTCCAGTCCCTGTCCAGATCGCTCACCTGTATCCCCCCGGTCCTTCCAACCCACACTACGAGAAAGCCATGGAGCGGGAGTCGCAGCGCAAGGGTGCCGCGATCACCGCTCCCGGCGGAACACCCGAGGCTATCCCGACTATCACATCTCCTGGCGCTCAGGCCTTGCAGGAATCGAACTTGACCCCCCCAGCAGCAGAAGCAGCAGAAGGCCCAGGCTGCCGCTGCTGGCCTTGCGGACAAGCTTACATCTTCTATGTTGGAACAGGAGCTGGATGACAGCGAGCCTCCCACTATCAAGCTGGGTGATGCCTCAGTCGCTGCTCCCTTCACTAGCAAGTTGGCCAATGTTATTGCTATCCCCAACATTCTTCGTCAAGGTCGTTGCACCCTGGTTGCGACTATTCAGATGTACAAGATTCTTGCTTTGAACTGCTTGATCAGTGCCTACAGTCTGAGTGTCATCTACTTGGATGGTATTAAGTTCGGTGATGGACAGGTCACCATCAGCGGTATGCTGATGAGTGTCTGCTTCCTTTCTATTTCCCGCGCCAAGGTATGTCGTACTTCCTTTCTCATGTTCACAAAATGGGTTGCTAACGTTTTAATGTGTGAAGTCTGTCGAGGGTCTGTCTAAGGAGCGTCCCCAGCCGAATATCTTCAACGTTTACATCATTGGCTCTGTTCTTGGACAGTTCGCCATTCACATTGCGACTCTGATCTATCTTTCTAACTATGTCTATAAGCACGAGCCGTACGTTATTACGACCTCCCTTTGATTTACCCCACTTCATGGCTAACACAACCGACAGGAGAGATTCCGATATTGATCTTGAGGGCGAGTTTGAGCCTTCCCTCCTGAACAGTGCCATCTACCTTCTCCAGCTGATCCAGCAAATCTCCACCTTCTCGATCAACTATCAAGGTCGTCCCTTCCGCGAATCCATCCGCGAGAACAAGGGCATGTACTGGGGTCTCATCGCCGCATCGGGTGTTGCATTCTCTTGCGCTACGGAATTCATTCCCGAGCTGAATGAGAAGCTGCGCCTCGTTCCCTTCACCAATGAGTTCAAGGTGACTCTGACCGTGCTGATGATCTTCGACTACGGTGGTTGCTGGTTGATTGAGAACGTTCTCAAGCATCTCTTCAGTGACTTCCGCCCCAAGGACATTGCCCTCCGTCGTCCCGACCAGCTTAAGCGTGAGGCGGACCGTAAGTTGCAAGAGCAAGTTGACGCCGAGGCTCAGAAGGAGCTAGAAAGAAAGGTTTAGTTTGGTGGCTTGAGGATTTGTATCTGTATACATAGAGAGGCGGTTGTTGGATTCTAGAAATGTTCATGTGATACATGACATTTAATACAAGTTTTTTTTGCTTTGATCGAAACAATATAGCAAGTACAAATGTTTTTAATTTTTGGTTTGAATGGCTACTGCTACTCCATACTGTCAAAGAATTTGGCTGAATATTACGCGCCCGAGTCACTATCACCCTGCATCTCTATCACCATTAGCGCGTTTGACATGTCACCCACTAACCGGGATCACAATAGCAGCCCTGCTCTTTATCTGATAGAACAGTATGCACTTCGTATAACGTCGATGAGCGATCCGCCTTTTTTTTTATAAGGTTCGGATAGTGCCCGAAATGATCGACAATCTGAACCCCACACGTTTTCTCTATAAATCTATGTCTTATCAAAAACCGCATATTCAGCATAAGACGGCTGAAGAATCTGTACCAGGTAGTCCGTCCAATCATTTTGCCATTTCCAGATATAGAGAGCCTTTGAGAATTCCCAGTATTCCGGATACCAGCCACTAAACTCCCAATCCAGAACCCCGCTGACAGATCCATCGTTTACCATGATATTGTGAAGGCGTAGGTCTCTGTGGGTGAACACGATCTGGTGGTTGTTTTTGCACAGCATACCAGATAAGAAATTCTTGGTCTATCATTTTGGTGGCTTGGATTGATAGGCATCGATAATTGCACTATTGAAAGCTTCTTCTGAGTCGAATGGTCCTGAAAATATACGTATTAGCACTTGTGTATATATCGATCGTAGTCATCTGCTAGCCTTTGACATGATAACTTTCCAAGATCGGGTCGGTAACAGGGCCAGAATTAGCTGAGCCTATGTAGCTACCGTTGCTGATCTGCCGAAGTTCGAGGAGATATTCCTTGAGCTGGTTGGTGACATGGGATTTGGTGTCCTCATCATAAGACTCCCAGACTTTGTCCATCACACCTTACCTTAGATGAAGAGGGGTTGTGACTGCACACGGAGTATATAGTATGTCCTTCCTTCCTTCGGAGATACAAACTCCGTAGATACACAAATTGCATGGATTGTCCGATATAGACTTGCACGGGTATCCCGCACCGAGGTTGGGGATTGTTCTAGGGGTGCGGAGTTAGGGCTAAATAGCGCGTGGGAATTGTATCCGGTAATTAATCACCGCCTAACGAGATATTCATAGCTAAAATCGGGTTTTAGGGCAATGAAATGGAATTTGAGAATACGAAAATATGAATCTTAAGATGGGACCTTGACTTATATTGTATCTACAAATGAAGCTTTTCAGCGATCGGGCATATAGATGGAAATGTCACGGTAAGCCTTGGAATGACGGCACTTACCTAGAACAGGCTAGAATAGAGGGGAAAGAGAAAAGAGTCTATTTGGTACTCACAATTCTTCGCGTGGTGTGATTCTCACCAGCATGCCGTCACTTAGAGCACAAGTCACAGTCTCAGTGGCCAGTGACATGTGGATTCAGCTTTTGGGTACTTGATCCCCATGTCAAACCGACCGACCAACAGGAGCAGTGACCAAACAAACAAGTCTTGACTTCGCAAAGCCTTGCACTACACAACTACGACGAACACGTAAGCAAGTCATGTTTGTATAATTGCTAATAGTACCACTAGCATTGGACATGCCAAGTCCATGGAAGTATTTCGGGTTGAACGCATAGTAGTTTGTTTTTGGGTTGCCTACTGATATGCACGTCGATGTACTATTGATTCCACATACATGTGGACAGCAAATAAGGCAACATATCCGGGAATGGGAAAATCGTAGAACAAATTCACATGGAGAACTGAACAGTCGGTGAATTTCTTGGAACTCCATAGCGCTTGGAGATCCTCCTGTATATGTCGACACGGTGAATCCGGTAAAAAACTGGTGCTGCACTGCTGTAGGAAGAAGTCGGTGAGCCCATGGGATTGTCGTCATAAACCTGTTGTTCCCTAGGTAACAGTGATCTACAACATAGAATTTGTTATACATACATGACAAGGCTGTGCAGTGTGGATATATCCAGACTAATCTCTAATATCGAGGGTGATCTTCCGCATTAACCCTGATCGCGCATGCATTGTTGGCCACGGGTTTTGAGCCATTACGGAGATTCGTTGTCAACGCGATCAAGATATCAGGATACTGTTGATATAAACCGCGAAATTACCAAATTAATATCCTTCGCGTAAGTGGGTGCGCATCTACTTTCTTTGCTCGACAAGATTATGCACATGCTGCTAATAAATTCACAGAAATTGCCTTCCGAATCCTGTAATTCTTTCCATTTGCTTAAGCTCCATCTATATCTCTGTATAAAACGTCAAAAAGTAATCCGCATCAAAATCATTATGACAAAATAGTTGACTATCTTAATAGAGTAGAGTGGATATGTACGTGGGAGACCTACTCCTTACATAGTGGCAATAGATCTTTGATACCATCACTATGATTAGAAATAAACGCGCGTCGTCACTTTCTAAAACATGCCCGTTTTTCAGCCGTCTTGGAACCCGTTATCTTCCGTGGTGAACTTCCCCTTGCTCCGACTCCAGCTCGTGCCTCGCAGCTTCAGGCTGCAGTGCGATGCATATCGCGGGAAATTCACCAGGAACACAAGTACCATTGTAGCCTAAGAAAGATTAGTAGATCATTGCCGGAAACATTTCTACAGGCTCCATTTGGGTGCATGTCTAAAATGTTAATGGCCAAAACGCCATTTGGCTAGGGTAAGTCATGGAATGTAAGATCTCCACGGGTTTTACTCAAATAAATGGGTAGTTATCGCTGGAATGCAATGATCTGGAGTGTAATATAACATGTTCACAATGCAGCCTTTAGATCAAGGCTAAGTTTGTGCCCTTGTAATAGCCCTGTTAATAGCCTTGACCATCGAGATTACATTATCAGAAGATATGGGAATCTCATGCCCCTTGTCGTGAACAAAAACAGACCTAACTAGCTCGTTACACGCCTGGCTAGCTGCCTCAGCCTTTTTCTTGTCTCGGTCGTGACATCCCCAAATATGAGCTGTTGGTAGATCGAGAAGCCCGTCAGCTGGATTGAACTTTGATCCAAATAATTTCTCGGCTAACAAGTCGTGGTACTGGAGTAAGCCCGGAGCAGAAAAAAAGATTCCCACTTTGAAGGGCAGCTGCACGGGTTTGTTGTCTTTCTGCTCCCGCAGCTTCTTGAACATCCACGACATGACAAACGTGGCACCTAGGCTAAACCCCATGACACCATCGTACGGGCCTTCGGCTTGTACATAGCGCTCGAGATCGTCGAATGCCTTTGCACAAGACTCTGGCGATGATGGATTGCAATAGGCGAATGTTTCATCATCAGGAGGTAGTAATTCCCTCAAATCTAGTCTTTTGTCAGAATTGGTTAATGATTAGGCTTGAGGATAAGTCAAACCTTCGTTAAGCGCCGAGGGAAAGGTTCCGTCGACAAAGTCATAGCTGTGACTGTCACCAAGCTCATGTCGAAGCGCAGCTTTAACCCGATGTTAGTTCGATCTTTTATTTAGAGACTTTGTAGATAAAGGTACCAGTTTGCCGTTTGAAGATCTATAGAGTTAAAATCAAACTAGTCAGCAAATTAAACTTTTATATGAGGACCGAGCCAGGGAGAAATCAAGATATCTTACCTCCGAGTTGGTGCCCCTACCATGGAGACTGTCGGAACTGTCAGTTACCTGGGACCTTCAATGTGAGATCCAGGGAGATCTTACCATAGAAAATGCATGTTGACGGAACAATAACGCAGGAAAGACCAAAGGGGGCGAAAAATGGAGATTTCTTCGAGACTGCCAACTACTCACGCCGTCAAACCCCAATATGTATGTAACGCCAAAACCAGAAAAAAACCCTGAAATAACGTATCCCTTTGGACGCGCGTTTGCTGTCTGAATATTGGCTGACGTAGATTGAATGATTGGCTCCAAGGTGGAGGACATTCGGACCCTCTAGGGCTATCTCTATCCCCCCTTTTTGGGTATCCTTGTTTTGACATGTCGTATCACATCTGGGACAATAGTAACAGGTAATTTGACCGCAATTTGTGTTTTCTATTACTATTTCTGTAGATAAGATAGAAGATCTGCCTGCAGTAACGGCTCAAGGATGTAAGCTTCAGATGCAAGGAATGCCTAGCTTATCTCTTTTAGGTCACGCAGCGTGTGTAAACTACATGAGTATGCACGCCCCCCACTACCCTACATATATTAACTCGTCACTACGTAGTACTCTGCAGTTAAATGGAATTGTTAAATGTATTTTTATGATGGCGATACCATATAATCCTTAATTCTCCCCATCATACCTCGCAAAGTTCTTTGAACGGTTTATAGTTTTTACCGGCTTTATATACATCTAAAAAAGACTTTCAAAAGACACACAAAAACATCACCCAAAAGACCACTGGAATGTTGTTACATATGACGTCTCTTATATAACCGTTAGCCAAATGCGTTATATTTATAGAGTCTTATATCGCCAAGTCGCCAAGGACTGAGGCCGCATAAGCAGCTAACTATTGTAAGTTGTAAAGTCAATTTCCAGGCTTTTCGACTGCCAAGTATCAAATATTTTGCCCGAGGATTTTCATTGCAGTTCACCGCCACCCACATATGTACGTAGGCAGACGTAAGAATGTGAGACAGTATAGTGACATAGAGACTGTCTTAAAGGGCTTATCAGGTGCCATTTCCCTTTTTGAGATCCTCAAATTACAGAACAAGTGTCAAACAGTAACAAATAGGGAAGATGTCAAGGTCAACTGACAAAACACTGTCGCCGTTGGCAATTGTTGGATTGTCACTCAAATTCCCACAGGATGCCGTATCTTCGGAGTCCTTCTGGGACATGATCGTCGAGGGAAGATGCGCTTCTACGGAGTTTCCTCCAGATCGGCTGAACATTGACTCCCACCATAACCTGAACGCCAATCGACTTGATAGCTTATCTCTACGTGGAGGTCACTTCATGAAAGAAGATGTTGCCTTGTTCGATGCGCCTTTCTTTTCTATTACTGCCGCTGAGGCAGAGGCCATGGACCCTCAGCAGAGGCTGATCCTGGAAGCTACTTATCGGGCACTAGAGAATGCTGGCATTACTATGGAAGGAATCGCACGATCAAGGACATGCGTTTTTACTGGGTCATCAGGCCATGAGTACCTGATGTTGCAGGCAAAAGATCCCCAATACCTACAGAAGTGGGGTATCACAGGAACCACGGGGAATATGGTGGCGAACCGCATTAGTTGGTTCTTTGACCTCATCGGACCCAGTGCTGCGATTGACACGGCTTGCTCAAGTAGCCTAATGGCTATCGATATGGCATGTCAGTCCATATGGAGTGGTGATTCAACCATGGTAAGTCTACGTTTCAACTAAGCCTATCACATTTCTGATACCGTTAGGGACTGGCAATTGGTAGTAACGTTATCCTGGCATTGGAGACTTCACTAATGATGGACAACTTGGGACTTCTATCTAAAGACAGCCGTTGCTATAGTTTTGACGAACGTGGCAATGGATATGCACGTGGCGAAGGAGTTGGCGTCCTTGTCATTCGTCCCTTGGAAGATGCCGTGCGAGACGGGGATACAGTCCGAGCCGTGATAAGGTCTTCTGCCTCTAACCAGGATGGAAGGACACCGGGAATTACGTTGCCCAGTACCGAGATGCAGGCTACATTAATACAAGAGGTTTATCGCAAGGCAGGGCTGGACATGGCGACGACGCGCTATTTTGAAGCACACGGAACAGGTCTGGCCACCACAATATCCACAATATTGTATGAAATCCAGGCTAACATAACACAGGAACTGCCATTGGAGATCCAATTGAGACCGCAGCCATTGGGTCTGTGTTTCGACCCCATCACTCTCTAGATAATCCATTATACATGTGAGTATGATAGTTCCAGGTTTTGACCCTCGCTAATAAAATATTTAGTGGGTCGGTGAAGTCTAATATTGGACACCTGGAAGGTGCCAGCGGAGTTGCTGGAGTCATCAAAACAGTTCTAGCACTAGAGAAAGGAATAATTCCTCCCAACAGCGTGAATCTGCAGAGCTTGAACCCCAGAATTGATGACGAGTTCTTAAATATCAAGGTAAGTCAAACCAATTGAACATTCGCGTTCTTATATCTGACGGAGACAGTTCCCACAAAAAGCTCTGCCCTGGCCCTCGGAGGGACTTCGACGAGCATCAGTTAGCTCTTTTGGCTATGGAGGATCAAACGCCCATATTGTCCTGGATGATGCCTACAATTTCATGAAACTGAATGGCCTGAAAGGGAATCATAATACAGTGCCCCCCCTTCCAGCCATCTAAATGCAGAGATTGCGATTTGGACACAGAGGGGGAAATAAGTTCAGATGGAACTGGCTCCAATGGACTGACAGAAATAACAAACGATATACCCAAACTCCTCGTTTGGTCAGCAGCAGACGAAAAGGGGATTCTTCGACTTAAGGAAACCTGGAAGTCACGCCTCTCCGCCATCTCACAATCGGCCAGGAAGAGCCCAAAGTTCCTAAATGATCTTGCTTATACATTAGCGTGTAGACGGACTCATCTACCATGGAGGTCGTTTGCTGTCGTTCGCCCGTCAGATGACCTGGGGGCATTGGTTGACCGATTTTCGCCAGCATCCCAGTCTCGCGGTTCATCGAATCTTGCTATGGTATTTTCTGGGGTAAGTGTGCGTCCTTCTTTTGAAATAACCGAAACTGACAGTTTTATAGCAAGGAGCCCAGTGGTATGCGATGGGGCGCCAGCTTCTCGATATTTACCCTGTGTTCCTTCAAAGTATCGAGGATGCCGGCGAGTATCTCCAAACACTAGGATGTGAATGGGTGCCCCTTGGTATGTGAAGTACAGCTATCAATTATGGCTCTCTGTTAACGTACCCTAGACGAGCTCGAACGCAGTGAATCCACTTCAAATATCAATAAGACTGAGTATAGCCAAATACTGTGCACGATCGTTCAGGTGGCTTTGGTTGATCTCCTCCGCTCTGTGAACATCACTCCCAAAGCGGTACTAGGCCATTCATCCGGCGAGGTGGCAGCAGCGTAAGTAACCCAACCTCTTGAGAGACTATTCTTACCTCCTCTATCAGGTATTGCGCCCGTGCAATCTCCAGACAATCAGCCTGGAAGGTATCCTATTATCGAGGTTATATGAGCAGTAAGCTGGAGAACTCCAGCCAAATGAGAGGTTCCATGCTTGCAGTGGGCCTATCAGAACAGGGCATCAAGCCGTACATCGACAAGCTGAGCAAGGATCTCGAGGTTGTCAATCTCATTGTTGGCTGCATCAATAGCCCCAAGAGCGTGACAGTTACTGGAGAGGTTACCCACCTCGACTCCCTCAAAATCATACTCGACAAGGAAAATATCCTTTGTCGGAGACTTAAGGTCAACTTGGCCTATCATTCATCTCAAATGAAGGAAGTCGCATCTCTCTATCAGGACGCGATGGGAGAGTTGGAGGTAGGTCATACGGGGCATAAGAATAACCCGGAGATGGTGTCCTCTGTGACCGGCGATTGGATCGATCCAGGAGAGGTTTCTCAAGCTTCTTATTGGGTTAAGAATATGGTCTCTCCAGTGCGCTTCTCGGATGGACTGACTAGACTGTTCTCAGGATCTGCTCCAAACTCCCATAAGAGATTAGATGGTAGTCACCGCAGGGCAAGAGATATTGACCACATACTCGAGGTTGGTCCACATTCAGTCTTACAGGGTCCCTGCAAGGATGTATTGAAGAGAATTGGAAACGAGACACCAACTGAATACTTTTCGTTATTGGTACGAAACATGTCAGCGGCCGATACTGTATTCGCCGTCTTCGGTAATCTGCACACTGCCGGCTATCCGATTGATCTTTCCTTGGTGAATGGAATTGATTCTACAGGATGTGATATTCCAAAATCACTGCCAGATTTACCTGAGTACCCCTTCAACCATGATACCTCATACTGGCATGAGAGTAAAATTAGCAAAGATCACCGACTACATCCATTTGGCCGCAACGACCTACTGGGGGTTTCTGACCCAAACTGCAATCCTTTCGAGATGCGGTGGAGGAACTTTGTACGCGTTTCTGAGATGCCTTGGACCAAAGATCATCAGGTGAGAGGAGATAGCATTTGGGTAGTGCAAAATTTACAAACTAACAACAGAGAAGGTCAATGGCACGATTATATACCCCGGCGCTGGCATGTTGGTGATGGCTATCGAGGCGGCCAAGCAGGTGGCAGAGCAAGGAAGAACAATTACCGGATTTAATATACAAGAAGCCAGATTCCATGCCGCGATGATAGTTCCGCCTGGAACATACGGAATCGAGACTAGCTTCTACCTCCACCCTGCCAAGGGCATGGGCTCCGAAAGCTCCACCAGCTTTGAATTTCGCCTCTGCACATGTGAGAATGAAGAATGGATCGAAAACTGCACCGGGTCTATTCAGATCGTGTATACGCTCGAGGAGGAGCCTGAAATGGACAAAGTACACACAGAGGAATTGTGGACCTCACAATTGGAGGCCTACTCGGATGCCGTCAAAACATGCACATTGCCAGTGGATGGCCCATCTCTATACGACAGTTTTTTGAACTCCGGCTATGACTATGGAGAAGCCTTCCAGCTCATCGACACATTGTCAATTAGTCCTGTGCAGCCATGTGTGACTGCCCAAGTCAAAAGATTATCTTCTTCAGCAGGCGAGACGATCCATCCGACAACTCTCGATGCAATTTTGCAGACATCCACCTGGACAGTGGTGACTTCTAAAACAGAGAATATACCCACTACTGTTCCAAAGTATGTGAGAAATTTGTGGGTTGCGAGCGCTCTCGAAAACACATCATCTGGCATTTTGAGGACGTACGCTACTCGCACTGTGAGATCTTCATTTACTGGTCCTTCCTCTGACATCTTCACATTTGACGAGAAATTGCGTGAAACTCTGATCTCTGTTGAGGGACTCGAAACAGATGTCAATAGCTCAAAAAACACAGAGGAAAATGCCTCGTCCCCCGAAGATCTCTGCTATCAGGTCTTATGGAAGCCCGACCTCAACCTACTGAGCAATAGAGAAACTACAGATCTCTGTATCAAGGAATACCCTGACTTGACAGAAGACACAAAAGATTTCTTGGGTGATTTGGATTTCATGTTCATGGCGCGCATCACTGAAACACTGAAAATATTATCTGAGCAGCAGCTCAAGCCATCACAGCCACATCTGAAGAAATACGTGGACTGGATGATGGGTCGACAACACCTGCTTGATAAAGGCCTGCTTCAATTTGCCACTGAGCCGTTGAAGAGTCGGCTGGTCGGTCTTGGAGATCTTCAAGATGTCGAAAATCGATTGCTGAATCTCAACAAAAGAGGATATTTCTATGTCACCGTTGCTCGAAATCTATTGGAGTTCCTTACCGGTGAAATGGACCCATCAACCTTTTTTGAAGGTGACATGCTGAAAGAATTCTACTCCGAACAAGTAAGTTTTGATGCTCATACTCTAGTGCTATCGCTTATGACAGTACCAGCTTCATGAATCCCATGGCCTTAGGCAAGCTGCCAAATACCTTGATCTTCTATCTCATCTCAACCCCAAAATGAAGATTCTGGAGGTCGGTGCTGGAATTGGATCTATGACAGACGTTATGTTGCGTACGTTGGGCAATACCGAAAACAGAAACCCGCAGTATGCCCAGTGGGACTTTACCGATAAATCAGGGTCGTCTTTTGCTAGTGTCCAAGATCAGTTCCATCAGGAGGCCGGGCGGATGCAATTCAAGCTTTTGGACATTGAGCAGGATCCTGAGAAACAGGAGTTTGAGTGTGGTACATACGATATAGTCGTTGCTTCCATGGTGCGCTCATATTTCTTCCTAGAAAGATCACAACTACTAACTACAATGCAGGTCATTCATGCTACTTCAAACATCAAAGATGCTCTAGGCAATGCCCGAAAGCTTCTAAAGCCGTTAGTGCCGTTTCCAACGCTCAATGTCCTAATCAATCTGACACATAATATCTAGAGGTGGCAAGCTCATGCTGTACGAGATGATCAGTCCTGGTCTCCGGTCTACTTTTACGTTCGGGCTTCTTGAGAAATTTTGGCTTAGTAGGTTCTTCGTCTCCGATGAAAGCCAGTCGACAACGCTAAATTCCACAGATTCAGTCGCAGATTCGGGACCGGGGCCTTGCTTCGACGAGAGGCAATGGGACGAACTTCTTCTTCAGACTGGATTCTCTGGCCTGGATCTCCTTCTACCAGAATTCGATAGAACCATATCCCACGAATTTGGTCTGATAGTCTCCACAGCCGCCGAGGAACCCCCGACAGCCTATCCTATCCCGGAAATCGAAGTTGTCTACGACGTTGCCGAGTCGGGCCAGCAAGAACTCGCACAGTTCCTTGTTAAATACTGTCAATCGAACAAGCTCGCCCCTATCCGTTCTTCCTCTGTTCAAGAGGCAATGGAGTACAAGTCTGAAATTCCATTGCTACGGATCTTCCTTCTCGAGCTTCACGTTCCAATTTTGTCGGAAATGCAATCGGAGCTGTTCCAACAACTTCGCAGTCTCCTTTCCTCCACGTCACAGGTGCTGTGGATCAATCAAGGAGGAGGCATACTTCCCTCACAGCCACAGTTCCGCCTTGTGGATGGACTATTCCGCGTCCTGATGACGGAAGATAGCGTACGTAAACTTCACCTACTTTCGCTCGAGCCTCGTGGCCCCTTGAGTATAAAACAACACGACCATATCACAAGGTTGATTAAATTTTTCTTGTCGCCATCGACTGCAAATGCGGATACGGAGTACATTGAGCAGGATGGAGTCTTGAATATCCCTCGCCTGATTGCTTCCAAACCATTGAATGAGAGCATATCAGCCATGGCCACCTCTCATCAACACCGTACGCAAAGCTTCAACAGCCAAATTCCATTGCGACTGAATGCCACATCTCCGGGTCTAACGAATGAATACGAGTTCATCGAAGATGAGACTGCTTACGAGCCACTCCAGCCAGATGAGATCGAGATCGAGATAAAATGCGCAGGGCTAAACTCCCATGACGAGCTGATTGTAGCAGGCCAGTTGAAACCGAGCGATACCGGATCTGAATGCTCTGGAAATGTCATTCGAGTGGGTGACGCCTGTAGGCGATTCCAAGTCGGTGATTCCGTTGCCGTCCTACAAAATGGTTGCTTTGCCACGTCAATTCGCCTGCGAGAAACTGGCCCTATCGTCAAGATTCCTGCGGGTATATCCTTTGCAAACGCCGCAGCTGTGCCAGTCGATTTTGCCACTGCACACATTGCACTGCACAACATGGCCCGCATCCAGCCCGGTGAAACCGTGTTAGTCCACTCGGCATCCAGTGATACTGGCCTAGCAGCAATCCAGATTGCAAAGAGTGCCGGAGCAACGGTTTTTGCAACGGTAAGCTCCGAGAGCAAGAAACAACTGCTTATGGATATTTACGGCATCCCCGCGTCCCACATTTTCTCCAGCCAGACGATTGTGTTTTCAAAGATGATCAAGCGTCGCACGGGTGGAAAGGGTGTCGATGTTATTCTCAATTCACTGACAGGGGAAGGTCTGTTCGAATCTTGGAGGTGTATTGCGCCTTATGGTAGATTCATTGAGATCGGTAAAAGGGAAATTCTATCAAACCAGGGGCTCCCCATGTTCCAGTTCCTTGAGAATGTTACCTTCAGCGCCATCGACTTACCTGCCATGTCAGTTGAAAAACCCGAGGTATGCATCGCTGCTCTCAAATCGGTGTTTGATTCCATGCAGGCTGGCAACCTGCGACCATCCCAGCCTGTCAACGTATACGGAGTGGGGGAAATGGAAGAGGCATTTGGAAAGATGCATACTGGCCAACATGTTGGTAAAATGGTGCTTGAGATGCGAGGACACGATCAGGTTAAGGTAAAAGTTATTTCTCCCTTCTCTTATTTACTCGTTCTAATATGTCCCCGTTTTCTAGATGGCTTTGAGAACCAGACCCAGTTTCTCATTGGATCCCAATGCCACGTTCGTGGTTTCTGGGGCATTCGGAAGCCTAGGAAGAAATATCGCATGTTGGTTGGCAGACCAAGGAGCTCGCCATTTGCTTCTTCTCTCAAGGTCCGGGGGCCAAAGTGAGAATGGCAAGGAGCTTGTCAAGCACCTTGAACTGAAAGGTGTGATGGTTCTGGCCCCAGCTTGTGATGTCTCGGATGGAGAATCGGTGAAGAACGCTTTGCGTGAATCTAGATCGCAAATGCCCCGGATCAAAGGATGCATCCAGGCAGCCATGGTACCGAGAGTGAGTATTGATGTGACTTTGTTTGCTTTCAGATGGGCTAACCTCCCTAGGACGCTCACTTTGCGGAAATTTCCCACCAATTCTGGCAGGAATCCATTAGCCCCAAGGTTCAGGGATCGTGGAACCTCCACAAACATCTTCCCCGAGGCATGGACTTTTTCATCTTGCTGTCGTCTCTTTCGGGTATTCTAGGAGCCACTGGACAGGTCAACTACGCCGCCGGCAATACTTTCCATGATGCACTAGCTCGACACCGTGTTGGGATGAGTGAGAAGGCGACTTCCCTGGACTTGGGTTTGTGTGATTTCGCTGGTGGTGCGGCCGACAGTGGAAGCTGTGGTGTGGCACAAGTAACTGAAGCACAGTTCCATGCCCTGCTATCCAAGTATTGTGATCCCAGGATTGGTCTTCCGACACCTCTAGATTGTCAGACTGTCGTTGGCTTGTCACCAAGTGCACTTTCCGACAAGAAACAATGGCAAGATAACCCACTCGTCCGACACCTGATCACGGATAAGAAACTCGGCGGAAAAGCAGATAGTCGACCACACAGCGCCAAAGGAGCAGGATCACTGCTACAAGCAGAGACTTTGGCCGATGCCAATGCGGCTGTTTTGGAATTGTCCACTGAAAAGCTTTCTAAGACTGTGAGTATGGCGATGGCAGACGTTGATGCAAATACGCCCTTACACCAGTATGGAGTGGACTCACTCGTTGCGGTAGAACTGCGCGATTGGTTTGCTGAAGAGCTTCAGGCTGAGCTGGGTGTTTTTGAGATCCTTGGAGGTGCAACGTTGGCGTCGGTGTCACAATTGGTTGCGAAGAAGAGTAACCTCGTGCAAGCTTCATAGACCTATAGATGAAATTCACTGAATTGGACTTGAATTGCTATCATAATCTTCCAGCCTGGTCTATATAGTAGTAAGATCAAGTTGTGGGGGTGTCGTTTTATAGACGATTCCTATTCGGGCAACATCGCATCAACCCCCACTATGATCTCATCGCTTTCTTATCAAACAAGGCTGGATTGATTCTCTTTTTTCATACTTCATATTTCATATTTCAACCAACAATATGGCAAAGCTTACTCTCCAGTCAAAGCATCGGCTACAGTCAGGACATGAGATCCCAGTTATAGGATATGGAGTCAGTTACCCCGCAAACACAGACACATGAAATTCAACTTCGGAAGAGAGCTGACATGATGATATGTATGGCAATAGGTGTATATGATGTATGTTTGAACCAATTCCCTCATTCTGAATTAAATCCCCTAACCAAATGATAGTCCCTCCTCCGCGACCGAGAAGGCTACTCTCGAAGCCCTGGACGTTGGATTCCGCCATGTACGCCCCCCAGGAAGAATCACAAGAAGAACACACTAACCAAGTATCAGGTTGACTCCGCAATCATGTACCGCAACGAGAAGCCCTGCGGAAAGGCAATCCTGAACTCCAATCTGGATCGATCGCAGATCTTCTTTACGACTAAGATCCCGCCAGGATCAATGGGCTACGAATCTACCAAGCGAGCTATTAATTCCAGTCTACGAGAAGCAGCACAGGAATACTTTGACCTGTAAGTTTCCCCGGGATAAACATATATCCCCCATGGAAATGGAATGTATAATCTAACCGCTGGATCTACATAACCAACAGTATTCTAATCCATGCACCCTACGGCGGCAAAGAAGCCCGTCTAGGTTCCTGGGATGCGCTGGTTGAAGCCCAGAAAGCAGGAAAAGTAAAATCCATCGGTGTATCCAACTACGGTATTCACCACCTCGAAGAACTGGAGGCTTACATCCAGGGTGGCGGGGGTGGTCAGATTGATGTCGGTCAGTATGAGCTACACCCGTGGTTGGATCACTCGGATATCGTGGAGTGGCTACAGAAGAGGAAGATTGTTGTTGAGGCGTACTCGCCTCTTGCGCATGGGAGTCGGTTGACGGAGCCTGTGCTGCTTTCTATCGGGAAGAAGTATGGGAAGACGCCGGCGCAGGTTTTGATTCGGTGGAGTTTGCAGATGGTAAGTAGGATCGATTTTATTCAGAGTAAAGGATATAATTTAGAATCGGGTATGCTAATAGTCTGGTTCTTAGGGATTTGTGCCTCTGCCCAAGTCTACTACGCCGAAGCGCATTCGCGAGAATGCTGATGTTTTTGATTTTGAGTTGGCGGATGAGGATATGAAGTTGCTTGATACTGGAGAGTATTCTCCCACGGACTGGGATCCGACTGTTGATGAAGATTGAAGTAGATGGTTGGAGGTTAGATGGAGCGGTAGCGTAGAGTAGAGGAAGCCGGAGGAACGTTGGATTTGTCAGAGGCCCGTAGGAGGGGCTCTCCGCGGGGTGAAATTGCGACTTTCAACTTTCAACCTTCTCGCACTCCGATCTTCATCTTGTCGCTTGACACTTGCGATTTAGATTTCAATATATCTATATCCCAAGTTCTCATATATTCTTCCATCATGAAGTTGATTCTATCCAGTTCGTAAGTGGTTTCATTCGATGCGCCTCGAAGCAAAGTCACTCAAACTTCACAGGAATATTATGCAAGCTGGACGGCAATCCGTCATTCGCCAGCCTCTGACCCAGAAATCAAATGTTGAGCTAATCAACTCACTTCGATCCAACTTCCTTGCCTCGCAACAAATCGAAACCTCACCGGCTAACGGCACCGAGACAAATGGTCACTCAGCCGCATCGCATCCGCCCTCATGGACCCTACAGACCAAAGATGGTCTCTATATCCCCGCGATCGACTTCTCACAGCCCGGTCTGTCAGAAGAGCGCGACCAATACGATATCACAGTGAAACTATTCTACCTACCGGGAATCCCGGTGTCAAGGCGGTGCGCGCACACCAGAGAGGCAATTGATCTGGTATTGAAGGAACTACACGTCAAGTCTATCGATCTACTGATCGTCTCGTTCCCGGGGATTCTGTTCGATGCAGACGACGACAGCGAAGAAGAAGACAACGAAACGAGCAACGGTGAACCGGACGACTTCGACAGCCTGGTGCAGACATGGCAAGTGCTGGAGTCGCTGCATGAGCAGGGCGTAATCTCCCAGCTGGGAGTCGCAGAGTTCGGCAGCGAACGCTTGGCTCGGTTCCTCCCGCATACCAAGGTTAAGCCCTCGGTCGATCAGATCAATCTTAAGGATTGCTGTGTCGTTCCTAAACATTTGATTCTCTATGCGAAACAAGAGAAGATTCAACTCCTCACCCATAACGATTGCCATGATATTCTTCCTGTCGGCACGACGCGGGAACTGCTCGGTCCCGCCGAGAAGAGCGGTGCGGGCATCTTGGCTTCGTCCCCCGAGGCCAATGACGGTATCCAGGGAGATGTCGAACCGCAGTGGGTAGTTAAGTACACGGCAGTCGTCAAGGATCGCGGAGTAGTCGAGAACAAGGGGTATTTCGCGTCGGCTGATGTCGGCACATGTCTCAAGGACCGGTCATGAATGCTTCTTTTTTTTTTTCTTCTTTGCGTCGTCAATATGGATATTTGTCGTGACAAGCGTGGCGTTTCTTTTTTGCTTTTAAATCAATCATAGCTGGTGTGGGAGGTTGCATCCATCTCTAAAATCAAATGAGACTGGCTTAACCAAGCATACTCCTCTTCCGCCCTCTCAGGCGCACATCCTCAAGCCTCCTCAGCGCAGAAACAGCCCCCTTGTAGCTATCCCGGTAACCCGCAATCAACGCATCAAACATAGGCTCCGAGCGCGGATGCGTACTCCCAATCGCCCGCTCCAACACATATAAATCAACAGCCCGGTCCTCATCCTGATTACTCTGCGACGCAAGACCGAAATCAATCAACACGACATCGCCCTCTGTGGAGGGCGAGCCAGCGCCATCAACAGCACCACTTGCATCCGCAGGTGGTCGCAGCATGAGGTTACTCGTAGTCAAGTCTCCATGCACAACACCAGCCTTGTGCAAGACACCGATAGCAGAGCCCATTTTCTTCAACAAGTCGCGCACACGCGCTTCTTCGTTCTCGATCTGTGACGAATCCAGCGAGCCTTGGTTCTGCTTCATCCATGCTTCCCACTGCTCGAGAACTACCCGCACGACAGGCCCATCAATCCATTCCATCATTAGCCAGGCACCGCCCCACCCGCCTTCTGTGCCGCCGTGTCCCTCCCAGTCCAGGGCTAGGAGGGCTGGAACGCTGACACCCTCCCGTACCAATTTCGCCAGGCATCGTGCTTCTGAGGTTATCCGTTGGCGGGTGAGTCGGCGGTCGAGAATTGGGTGGCGGTAGGGTTTTGAGGGACGGATCTTGAGCGCGGCGGGGATGGAGGGGTTGAGGGAAATGGTTTTGTAGAGGTGGGCTTCAGCACCTTGGGTGAGGAGGGTTGGTGGTGGTGTGGTATTATTGAAGGGGGAGGGGAGAGGAGGGGGTTTATATTCTTCCATTGTAAGAGAGTTGAAGAGGAGAGGTGGAAAGGTGGGAAAGGGAAAGGGATGAAGTGTTGAAGTGAAGGAAAAAGTTGTGGTGGGGCGGATTCTCGGAGTATAACCAGTTGTATACATAACCAGTTGGGATTATTTGGATGTTGATAGTTGGATTGAATATATTAATATGTATGTTGGTATCTTAATATCTTAATATCTTAAATACATGTCAATTAATCAAACCAGAAGCAATTTACATGTAAATTAAAAAATAATTTGGAGATCATCAATGCATAGTATCTCATTATGTGGACACATGAGTTCACAAACCCCTATATGTATACCCCTTTTCTCAATACCTCCATATTAACAATTAAATCAAAGCAGATGAAGGTCAGGCCGCACATTAGCCAACCGACAAGTACCCTGATACATCCTCTCAAGAGTCGACGCCATTACCTCTAGATCAGTAGACTCTGCCGACCAATGCTTCAGCGTCCGAATCGACAACCTCACCAAAGCAGTCCAATTCACCGGTAACCGCACCTGCCACGTAGTAGGGTCCCGAGATGCCTCAAGTTGGAATAAGACAGCCCCGAGAATGTGCACAGCACAGGCGAAGCTAGCCCGGACCACGTTCCAGATCCACTCATGTCGGAACTGATACCAGTAGCTTGGGATGAGTATGACGCAGTTGTCAATGGCCTTTTGCGCCAAGTGGAACACTTCGGCCCACAATTGATTGTTCTTTCTGATGAAAGTTGGCATACCCTGGAAATGCATTGCAAGGTAGAATGCTGGTCGGTAGATCCTCTCCAGTGCCATGTGGTACCGACCGCGGAAGAAGAACCTCAGGTCTGGATTGTCTTTTGCAGACTGGATCCCCGCTAGCGAGATTTCGTACCTTTGGGAAGAGAGTTAGCAAGGCGAGTCGGGGACATTTAAATTGTGTTTGGGGGACCTCATGGCTCGGGGCTCGTGGCTCGTACCATGATGTTACAACACGCTCTGCGTCCATGGTTTTTCTTAGGAGATCGGGGATATCTTTGGTCCAGCCTTTCTCGCCTTGACGCCACATGTCAGACACTATGTCATTGGTGGTTCGACGATTACAGATAGACCCGATGTAGAATTTCCAGCCTTTCTCTTCTTCGGTGCCATCTAGTTCAAAGCCTGGCCTGACTGCGAAATCTTCATCTTCCTCCATTTGGTCATATGAGGAAGGAGACCTGTGCGAGAATTTGGGGAATGGGTCTGAATAGCCTAGGCTCTCAAGACCACTGCTCCAGAGAGGGAGCTCGCTCTGCATCTCACTATAGGCCATACTTAGTTGGTGATCACATAAAAGCCCGGTGTAAATAACCTACTGTTCCGCTTGGATACACGACCAGTACAGTCTGGACTCCAGATTATGGTAATTGTCATCAGCGGTC